GAGGAAGATTCCTTGCTCGGTTCGGGCACATGGCACGCCACCGAATGTCGAATGCCTAGGCGTTGCGAGTCGCGACGAGATCGCGGAAAGCGCGAGAGTCGCGATATCGAATCGAAGAGAACTCGGTCGAAAAACGCGCTCGCGTCTCTCTCTCTCTCTCTCTCTATCTCTCTTCGTCTCTCCCTCTTATCGACTCTCCATACCCTATAGAAGCGGTGCCGCCGCCGCCACCGCCATCGCCATCGCCGCCGCCGCCGCCGCCAGCAGTTTGTACGAGGCATTTGATGCGACAGATCGCATGACCGGATGCGGGGGTAGGTAAATTGGTCGGCAATTGGCGATGTCACCGTAGAGACGCGAGCTATCGGTCGGTTGCGCGCCCGCTCCTTCTCGATCCTCGGAGTATCACCTGGCGAGGGAGTATGGTCTCGGAGGATCGAGGAGGAACCGGCCTAGTTTAGCCCCGTCCAACGAGCGTCGCGGCATCGCGGCAGACGCGAGATACCGGATAAGAAGAAACTTCTCGAGAGAACGTCGAGAACCTCGCACCTAGATCCTCGACCCCGTGCGCGTGTTACGATCTACTCGTTGCGACGACGGTTTACCAGCGTTGTCTAATTGCGACAATTTAATAACGCGTTAATGGTCCGCTCGCGAACGAGACCGCCGCGTGACGAGGCTGCCACTCGCGCCTCTCCCTGCGCCTCTGCTCCCCAACTTCCCCGCGCCGCTCGGCCAAACGCGTCGCAGAATTTCCATCCACTTCCTCGAACGCGCGTTCCTCTCGTCTACCACGGTTCTTCCCGTATCCGCCTACCTCCTCGAATCACGGATCGCGAATTCGCGAACCGACGCTTGGTCGTCAGACTTTCACGGAAAAGGAAATTATCGAGCGGAAAGAGGAGGTTAACCGATGGACCGGTGGTCGATCGGGGCGTCCACTGTACCCGGACGATGACGCCAAGTTTGTACGCGCGACCGTGCGAGCGAGCAAACGCGTGCGCGTCTTCTATTCCGCGAACTGAACCGACCGACAAATCGACCGACCGACCGACCGACCAACCGACCGACCGAGTTTAACTCGAACGAATCCGTCGTTGGGAGGACGACGCGACAAAGGCCAAGGCGAATTACCCCGCGAAACTCGACACTCTGCTCGCTATAAAGACTCGGCCACGAGACGAGCGAAATTCCTCCGAGACACCTATTAACGCGTAGGAGAATTATGTAAACGACCGACCGTAGCAGAATTACGTTACGAACGATCGTGGCCGTTCTCACGTCCGAATGGAGAATTCGCGGAGAAAAAGAGCGAAAGTCGAGTTTACCTCGGTGACCAGAGTGCTGTCGTAGTCTCTATTGTCGTAGATCCATCCGTGTCGACACTTGGTCACTGGCCAGTCTGGGTTACCGACCGGCGGTGGTGGCAACCGAGTCCTCGACCGTCGCTCGTTGCCCTCTCCCTTCGTCGCGTTCTCCAAGACCGCGTGCTCCAACCACGACTCCACGATCGCCGTGTAATTCACGTCGTACATCTTGCACTTGGAATACTTCTTCACCTTGCCGTCCGACTTCTCCACGTAGGGTAACGACAGGGCTTTCCTCTCGTCCAACGACATCAGATCCGTCATATTCTCCAACTCCGGGATCCTGCACCAATGCTCCGGCGACGCGCTCACGAACACCTGCCGAGTGAAACATTTAGACAACTAACCGCTAACACGGCTCGGTCTCCTGGTTGGTTGGTTGGTCACTCACTTGCGAGAAGGCCAGAAAAGCTGCGGGAAGAGTGGCCGATATGCAGAGGAGATAGTACATGATATTCTGATATTTGCCCTTCTCGCCCACGTGCACCAACACCTCGTCGAAGTCGATCGAACTCATGTTTTCGACGCTACTACCGCTTCACCGCGTTTCACCAGCAACGACACTCGCGTTACGTCGACGATACTTCTTCGCGATTCGACTGTCACGCGACGACGACGACGACGACGACGGCGATGATACCGGCTCGAATCACGCGGCATGACCGCCGCTACGCGTCTTCGAGGGCATCCACCACGGCTCACCACCGTGACACCGCACCACCGTGTGTTTCTCTTCTCGGAATTCCGCTTCTCCGAACCGTTTTCGCCCACCGAAACTCTCCCTGCTGCACCGCCGGATTCCTCTTCTTTCCTCACCGACCGCGCTTCCCCTGCGACCATTCCACGACTCCGACCACGACCACGACCACGCTCGACCGTCGCCACCAGCCGTTCATCGCGATCGCAACCGCCAAACTACTATCGTTGCTACTACTCTTCTTCCTACTCTTGCTACTCTTACTACCGGTGGTACTATCGCTACTACGAGCACCACGAGCACCACGAGCACCACGAGCACCACGAGCACCACGAGCACCGCCAGCACCACGAGCACGACGTAGTCGCGAAACTACCAGCGACCAGAAACTCGACGATCGTTTCGTATCGCTGTATAAACGACCAGACCGACCACCGATTCACCGTTTCCCCATCCGTCGCGACTATGTACCGCGATGCTAACGCTCTGACCACGGAACGTTTCTGCTGCTTCGAATTCGGAATCGCGTAAAGCGCCGCGAACGCACGTCTTCGCGCGTTCTTATATGCCGCGAGCATAGCGCCGACCGCGATCAGCCATTGCCGGAGAACACCTCCTCT